CGCAGCCATTGTGTGTACTCATTGCACATTAAAGCTGTTGTACATACACTATTCTAATCTAAATGTAGAAGTGTGTGAGATATCTCAATTGATAAAATAACCAATGTGTATTTTATCAAATAGCACTATAAAATGTATTAAATATCGTATATTTCGCGGTTTAATTCGTTTCTATATTTTTATTAAATGTACATCTTTACGTCGATTTTTGTACAACGGCTAATTAGTGATGCCGATTCTTAAAAAAAAAGATCGATTTTCGGAATCGATCAATTCTTTTAAGTTTGATTTTAACAATCGATTAATCGGATAAAAAAGGATCGATTCCGAATAATCGATTTTCTCGATTCTTTTCCCAGCAACCAATTATTTAAAAAAAAAAAGACTTTCAAATTCTTACTAATACGGCAAGTTAGTATGAACGAAAGCATTGAAATCCTATGGTTGAACTTTACCGGCACCGGCATAAGTTAAGCCTGCGGCACACGATGCTTGTTTTCCTGCTGGATTCCTAGCTGGATTAAGCCCATGGCACATACAAAAACGTAAGGCCGTAAGCATAATCAGTAAGCGAATTGGCCAATCACGATAGAGACCGTAAGGCCAGCAGCGAATCCAATCTTACGATTTCTTTACTGCTTACGTATTACGGCCTTACGTTTTTGTATGTGCCATGGGCTTTAGAATCTTGCCATCGTATTGACTGCGGTACTGACAGTGTCAGCATAGTAGCCAATACAATGACAAGATTCCAATCCAGCTAGGAATCCAGCAGGAAAACAAGCATCGTGTGCCGCAGGCTTTAACGGTTACGGCCATTATAAATCAGGCTTTAAGCCCGTATCAGACTACCGACTCTGCAAGCCGACCCGACTGCCAACTCTGACTGCCGACCAATAATGGACCAATCACAATAAGACTGATTCAATCTGATACGGGTTTTAGGGCCACTTTCACCAAGCTCAGTTACTAGGGCTGGTTAAGTAAACGACGATGGTGATATTTTTAGATTTAACGGAATATGCCAATCAGATGCAAGAGCTCACCGAGCGCTTAGTAAAGCGGTTGTAGTACTGAATGCGCCTAATGATGTTACTTAAGTCCGTATCAGATTACCGACTCTGCAAATTACCGATTGCCAACTCTGACTGCCGACCAATAACAGACCAATCACATATTAAATCAGTCTTATTGTGATTGGTCCATTGCGCTAGAGCAGTAACAACACATTGGGCGCGTTCAAGTTGACAAAGCGGCTAACCTGCTCGCCAAGCAAATGAACATAATTGGTTGTTACTTATAGATCCAACCAATCATATTCAATCGCTCGGTAAGCACGCCTAGCCGCTTTGCCGTCTTGAACTCGCCCTATGTCTTTGAGTAGCAAAAACTAGGTGCTGTGATTGGCAGAGTACAATAGCTTCGTGCGCCCTTCCTTTCGAAATTAACAATTTGTAAAAATTGAGAATCGTCGATACGATTCTCTGAAAAATTGGATCGATTCCGAAAGAATCGAGAAATAAAAAATCGAATTAAAATCGATTTTTCAAGAGCAAAAAGAATCGATTCTCGATGCATCGATTTAAGAATCGGCATCACTAAACGGCTTTAAAGTGCACTGAGTGCGCACTAGTTCTGCCAATGAAAAACGCTACTAGAAGCAGTAGCCGATGAAATTATCGTATTTAACCCAAAATTATTGTACATACATACATCGCACGCGCGTGCGAACAAAATTTAAATACGAAATATGTAAGATTTTAATCCGTAATTAAGACGGTCAGAAATGACAATTTTATTTATTACTTAACGCACCGACGAGATATTATTAAAGACCGACATCCTTATGGGAGTTCGCGTCCTTGTTAATATTGAAGTGATTAAGAGTAAAAAAACTGATAATATTGTACTAATTTTATGATTTATTAGTTTACTAGACGTGTTTATCGGTGTACGTGCATTTAAAACTCAATAATACTCTGTGCATTTAAAACTCAATAATACTCGATTTTTCTTTAAAATTGTGATTTCAGTGTATCGTCAAAGTTCGATTATCAACAGAGATAATAACTGCAGAGAAAAAAATTGTAATTTTTCGGCAATATATAGGATATTATAGCTTTACAAATATGCATATTTATTTATAGAGCATTTATGTAATAAAATATCATGAATTTAATAATGTATTAGTCAAATATTTATGTTAATAATAGCAAATTTATATCAATTGTCGATAATGTCAGCGTCCTTCGATTACCTCTGGGCCCTTGGGGCCCTTTTTATACCGCCGAAAATTTGCCCAAGGTTGACGGTCTTTAATAGTATCTCGTCGGTGCTTAACGTTAAAGTGACTTAGGCTAAAATCAGCCTCTGGGGCTCTATTCTTGAAAAGAAACGTATACGAAAAACTAGGAAAATACTATAGCATACGTAACGTATACTGTAATATTTCCCTAGACTTTCTTATACGTTTCTTTTCAAGAATAGACCCCCTGAAATAGATCAGAAATTTCTTGATCAATTCTCAACCAATTTCGCTAAAATTACCCATTCAGCACTTTAGAAGCCCCTTAACACACGATCATCGAAACAATAACCGATATTTTTTATCGATTGCAAGAGCTTAAATATCCTATAAAATAAATTGTGTTTCGATAATATCCAGGTTAAAAATACAAAAGAAAAGTGATTATTTCAGTATATTTAAAACAAACATTAAAAGAAAGAAACGTGGCTTTTTACATATGTTGACAGTATAAGTTCATTTGTACTGTCAATGGGCGCGTTCAAGTTGACAAAG